TTGTAGAATTTGCTCTTAATTGTCTTGTGAATTTTCTGTTTATGGTCTCTGTGTGTGTGTGTAGTGTTTTTAAGTGTGGCCGGTAGCCATATTAAATTCCGGGTATGGTTTACATACCTGGCCAGTAAATAAATAATAATAATAATTTCTCATTTTGAAAAACAAACATTTAAATATTTGAAACTGCTTACATGTTTTTAATTCCTTATTATTTTCTTCCAACAGAGGAATTCAAAGGCTCAACAATAGTGGAATTAATGAAGAAAGAAGGTACCACTTTGGGACTTACAGTGTCTGGAGGAATTGACAAAGATGGCAAACCGAGAGTGTCTAACCTTCGACAAGGAGGAATTGCTGCTAGGTAAACACTTCCTAATGCAAACAGCATAATGGCAGTGCAATAGCAGTGTGATAACCTATACAAAGCAGAATAAATAAATAAGAGAGAAAACCTTTTTCACCAATAAAGACAGAAAGGCAATCAATAGTAAAACTGTTTTACAGAAAAGTTTAATTTAGTTATATACTATTGAAATGCCAGGATGGAAATTAACATTTATATATTTCAGAGTTTATATATATTTGAGATAAAGCAAAGTAAAGCAAACACACAAAAATAATACAAAAGGCAGCACTACAGGGGAAAAACAACATATCATTATCAAAGTTAACCAGAAAATAACAGATGTTTGCAATTCTGTTTTTAATCATTTTTCCATGGTTGCAAGAATTTAAGTGTCATACTGATCATTCTTCCTAGAATATCACACATGTAATATGTAGTTTTGTCAGTGCTTTCAAGAGTCTTCATACAAATGTGTGTACATGTGTGCGCGCCCGCACGTCCTATTATGAATAGGATATCCATTTTGCTGTGAACAGTGGAACAGCTTCCAAATGGGGTTAGTTTGTTTGATCCCTCAGGGTTGCAGCTTTGAGGCAATCACATGCTGGAGAACAATAGAGGGAAATATACTATCTTGAGACCTGAAACAGCAGATATGAGTCAAAGTAAGCAATGCTAGATAGACCAATAGTTTAATCCAATATATAGCATTTTTCCAGTTCCTTGTGTAGGCAAGGATATATTTTTGCATATATTTTGCAGAATGTCCCATTTAGAAAATCAAAACATACCACCTTTATTTAGTTAGCAAACATAGCAAGTCTGTACATTTCAAAATAAAATTATTTATGCTTAACAAAATGAAATACAACTTACTGAAGAAAAGATGTATGTTGCAGAAGTGACCAACTGGATGTGGGGGATTACATCAAGTCGGTGAATGGAATCAACCTCACAAAGTTTCGCCATGATGAGATCATTAGTTTGTTGAAGAATGTTGGTGAGCGGGTTGTATTAGAAGTGGAATATGAGCTTCCACCAGTCTGTAAGTAATGAAATGCCTTTGCATGTTTGATTATAGCAGTACTATTATTCAGTGTCAAAACTGAGCTGCTGAATTTTACCACATTTCTTAGCTTAGTACACCACTGTGATTTCTTTCCTTGAGTCCACAGAGGAAAAGTTGCATAACATTCAAGTGCTAAAAAACAGCTTTCCCCTTTCTTCTCTTTATATGGACCATGAATTCACTGAAAGTTGATTTGTTTTCCCTTTTCAGTATTACTGCTATTAATTTACCATTGTTTGGTATCTTACTGGTGTCATCTCAATCAGTCACTAACATAATACCCATCATGATTAATGGAATATCTGCAGATAGAAATGAGGTGTTCTTTAATATGAGAGAGGGAGTCACTTCACCATGAAATGGTGGGGAGAGATTCCACCTTTCAGTGGGATTTTAAGCCCTGTCCCAATAGAAGTGGATTGCTCCTGAAAGAAGGACTTTCAAGCATAAAGCAGATTTTACCCCCACTGCAAAATATTCCCCCAAATAAATAGCAGTACTGTAAATAAAAGAGGGCACTAAGAAGAGGAGTTTATCTAGCCTGTCTATGTATAATGAATGCTAGAGACATCTCCCCTCTCTACATCAACTCTTTCTTTGTCCTGTAAAAACCACTCCGTTCAACTGGCAAACAAACCAGGTACTATTTGCATTACACTCTACTTCTTCTGTAAAGCACTCTGTGGGCTTTACATTTCTTTTTCATACTAGAGCATATATTACACACACAATAACATGGACATATATAATTTCATCCCTGTAAATTTTTTCAGTGTGTCCAGGTCAGAAGAATTAAAGGTATAGCTCAGCATAGTAAATCTAATTGAATATATTTCATTTTAGGTGTTAATGGCTAAACTAAATTTCTGTGCTTAATACTGCCAAATTGCAGTGGTGTATTTATGATGTTGTTTTAGAACTGCTGTGAATAATTAAGCATTGCAATATGAATTAGGTGATTTTGATTAACTAAATCAACTGAGCGTACAGCAATTTAATAGATTAAACATATTTATTTTGAATCAAACAGCTCTGTTTGCTCTGTTATGTTATGTTCAATATATGTGTGATTTTTGCCCACTGAATTGAAAAATGAGCCTGTCACACTACATTACAATTACTGTACAGCCATAAACCCTTCATTTACATTTTCAGAATTTCTGACCTTGTACAAGTATAGTACCTAATGAGGCTGGATGATAACTTTGTAGATATGCCTCCAGCATCCACCAGTGAGAGGATGAAGGGCTGTAACCAAATGTAAATAGGTGAAAGAAGCTGTGGTCCTTGTTGACTACAGCACACTAGGTTTGGTATGGCATAGGGCCAGGTTGATTGCTGGCTGATTTTTCACCTGAGCCAATTGCTGGGGATATATTGTCAATGGCAACATGATCAGAGCTCCCACATGGACTCCTCCTGGGGTAGTAAGCAAGTTATTAAGCAAGGATAGCCCCCATGCCCCAGCATCCCTTTTGGGGACCATCTTTTAAGAAGCAGAGTGCTACTATGCAGATCCTTCAGAATAGCTCTGGCCAGACCTTCCAGCACTGCAAGAGGCAAAGTAGCGGACGCCCAGCTCGGTGCCAAATCTCCTGCAACTGAAAACACTTTGATAAACCAACCTCCATATCCTTGAGCTATAATTCATAGTCATTGTTGAAGAGACATTTTGTGACATTCCGTTTTAGTCCATGGACAGTTAGCTCTCCAGCTTTCGACTAAGAGTTGACAGAATACTACAAAACCTACAAAACCAGGAAAGGAGGACTTCCTCTTAAAGCACTGAACTCCCTTACCCCAGTTGGTTAACACGGAAACCCCACACACGATTGACTGGTGATGCAAGGGAAATCAGGATCTTTGGGGAAGGATCTACACTTGGTGGGGGGGCATAGCTCAGTAGCAGAGCACATGCTTTTATGCTTGAAGTTCCCAGGTTACATCCTAGGATCTCCTAGTGGAAGGAAAGAATCCTGCCTGGAACACTGGAAAACACCTGCCAGTCAGTGTAGACAATACTGATCCACATGGAACAAAGGCCTGACTCAGTAGAAGGCAGCTTCCTATCTTCCCTTCTCTAATGGGAAAGAGGCATGTACCTGCCCAGCTCCCATTGATAGGGCAGATGCCCTTATCAGATGATAAGAGTAAGATTCTTCTGGTTTGTATCTCAGACTGAAAGCAATCTTGATATTGATACTCATATCTTCTTCTCATGATTTTTAAGATAAGGTTATTCTGTTGTTTGAATATGGATTATGTAGAACTGGAAAGCAGATCAGATCTGCTTATGGAAGGATCAATCATTGCCTTGGAAACAGATTGTTTCAACAATTTACTTTTTTCCTTAAAGTAGAACTACATGGTTTCATTATGTTTGGAATAATTTATTGATTATTCTAAACTTTATTTAATGATTATTGTAAGCCTTACATTAATTGTCAATAATACAATTAGAAAACTTTTTCAAATATATATATATGTTTCAGCGGTACAAGGTTCAGGTGTCATTTTCAGAACTGTGGAAGTTACTTTACATAAAGAAGGGAACACTTTTGGCTTTGTAATAAGAGGTAAGTGTGCCTTTGGTGCTTTGAATTTCAACATTATTCACTCCAATTCCACATTCCTGTTAGCAAGAAGAGTAGAACAAGACATTGATAGTGCACATCCTGAAGGCACATACAAGGAGAAAAGGAGTACTAATCCAACATGATCACCACCACACTGCAGTGGCTTTAAGTACCTTTGTGTTGCTTTTTATGGAACTTGTAGTTGCAGTATACAACTATTAGAATTAGCTTCTTGGATATTGAACTAACAGTGTAGCTCACCACAGGGGGAAAAATAGTTCAGGGTTATTTCATCAGCTTTATAATTTGGTGTTTCATTGTGGTGGGAAAGCGGATTTTCTGTCAGTGCATGCTGCAGATTGCTCAGGATGCTTAGATTGGGAATGGATTTCTATATAAGACAAACTAAGAAGACGGTGGCTTTTTCATTCTCTATTCCTAGGTGGAGCACATGATGACAGAAATAAATCTCGTCCTGTTGTGATAACATGTGTTAGACCTGGAGGGCCTGCTGACAGGTATTATTCATCTTCCACAGTGCATGTATATATGCATACATACACACACATATGAGAGAGAAGGAGAGGAGGAGAAAGATAGCAAAAGGATAGATATGGGGTTGCAGTTTAAGGCAGACATTTGCAAAGCACAATAGACACATTCAAGTCTAATCCATTCTACCTTATAAATTATACATTTAATTGGAGAACTAACAATAGGCATTGCTTAAGATTAAATGGCATGAATTTTAATTGAGACACTTGGCTTCTTTTGTTAAGTAGGGCTTAATTTTTTTTAAGAAGCTTTAAGAAGAAAAGAATATGCTTTGTACTATGCAAATGTAGTTTGTTAACTTGCAGTTTTCATATAGCCTAGTTTCAAGATATTTTATGCTTTTATACTCTTTTTTTCTTTTCATTCCTGGGGAAAATTGTACCCTGTTACTTTAATTTGTATGTATATAATGCAAAATTAGGTATAATTATAATTTCTATAAAGCTTTTGTTGATGCCTTGCTTTCATAATGTTGTGGTTGTTTCCATGATTGCTATTCCTTTCACCACCTCCAGGCCTAGCCTCATCATGATTAAGAATGAAGCAGTTCAGGTGGCATGTGCCAGGTAGCAGGGCTACTGGCCCTACCCTTCCCAGCTGTTCCTCTTGAGCCCTTTGGCTATTTATCTGTTTTTGAGGGCAGAACTCAAAAACCACACAACCTATAACTGACATAGTGGTATTAGTTGCGGTTGGAAATTATTTCCCATTATCAGTGTTGAAATGGGGAATTATTTTCCATTATCAGTGTTCATTCTATTTGGCTTCTGTACACAGAGTGGAAGAAGCAGCATTTTGTTGTTCGCCTCAGGCAAGAAAATATTTTAGGCACCCCCAATTGTTATGACTCCTGCTGCTAATCACTTATACAGATGTTGTATTATGTTACATACATTACGTTATGTTACATTATGTATTTGTTATTGGATGATTATGTAATATTTTTGTGTTATTTTATTGTTTTGTGTTATATTGGAAGCCGCCTAGAGTGGTCCTATAGACCAGATGGGCGGGATATAAATCAGATAAATAAATAAATAAATACTGGTGCTATCTAGTCATATGTAAGTTAAAGTGACCCAAACAGGGTTTTCAAGGTACGTGAAATATTAAAGGGGCAATTTTACCATTAGAGTCTACCAGTGAGTTTCCATGGCTGAACAAGGGATTGAGTTCTGGTCTGTTTCTCTTTCTATTGCACCACATTGGCTCAACAGAGAAACGGCTAAGTGTTCTGTCATATTTGGGCCTGCTGCTCAAAGCAACAAGGTAATAGCTATCATGTCATGTAGATCTGCTGCGGGGATCAGGTCTTGGCCACAAAGTAGTACGAATGTCCAGTGGCACTTCCTGAAGTATGATTAAGAATTGTCCAGTAGAAAAATTAGCAAAACTGGTGCCTCAGTATCCTCCAGAGGTAGTGTTAAGATTATAGTATTTAGGCTAGCATTTAATGTCCTGAGTTAATCAAGGGAGTAAGTTATTTATTTTGTTACCCTATCTTTAGGTATATTTTAATATAGTTTTCTTTGATTAAAACTCAAGACATTTGAACTGGATATTGGGAAGGGGTATTAAAGAATCATTTCGCATGCTATTCTTTTCTCAGTGTTACATTGAATCAAATTAATAAGAACTGTGCTTTCTCTTTCTTCTTTCAGAGAAGGCACAATCAAGCCTGGCGACAGACTGCTTAGTGTTGATGGCATTCGGCTTGTTGGAACATCCCACGGTGAAGCTATGAGTATTCTCAAACAGTGTGGGCAAGAAGCAACTTTGCTGATAGAGTACGATGTCTCAGTTATGGGTAGGTTGAAATGCTGAGCTGTCATTCTGGGGGACATCTGTGACATTTTACTGTCCATCCTTTAGAGGCTACTTGAACAATGATTATGACCTGTTATGCCTCTCCTAGCACAAATATTCCCACCAGCAGCATCTCATTAATCTTTCTAGGTTCGTGGAGAGGTGAACAGCATTTTATTGTAATTTAGAGCTTAGCTATGTCATAGTTTTGTGGGACTGAAAGCATACAATTGTTCCTATCAAGGTGACAACTCTCTTCATGATTCTAGTGAGACCTGCTTGCATAAAGCAGATATGAATGCATGAGTATTTATCCCAAATTAAAGGGTGGGAAGATATTTGCATGACATGACATGTTTATTTAGTGTCAGAAACAGGAAAAAGCTGTGGGGAAAGTATAAATCCCTGGGACCCTTGAATGAAATAGCAAGAAAGAGGATTCCACTGATACAGAAATTTATCTAATTATATATAACTTTTCTGGAGCCAGAGATGTGATAATACCCTAGGAGGTGTTGCTCCCTCTATCATTTTAGAACTTTGTAATTTGCTGATGCACTTTAAAAGATTTAGGGAAGGTTAAACATGTTCCTCAATTTATAAAATAAATTACCTAGCATCTAGATCAGCATTCACAGAAAATGCTGTGAAAATCTTAGTACCCTATGGAAGTTGCATAAAACAGCATGGACTTTACAGCTTTTTCATTCTCATAGTAGCCCTCATACATGGCCATCAACTGGAAGATTAACTGCATTTTCTTATCAATAAGGGAGTTCAAAGTCTCTTCAAGAAGAGGAAAAATATGAAATATCAATTGGCTTTGTGAGAAAATACCCCTGGGGCATTTTTCCCTGTGATATCCTACACTGAATATGATTATTTTGTACAGGATTATAGGTAGAAAATCTTGGTCCACTATGAAAATTTATTGCACGAGACTCCGACACTCTTAAAATGTTCATATGAGAAATATATTGATCTATGACTAGCTAAGTACTTTTCATATGAGAAATACTCAAATGCAAATAACAGAATAGATTTTATAATGAGTTCTATCCAGAACCTGATGAGTTATATTTAAGACAATTTAAAAGACTGATTTAACTCTGAGAGCTTGCTTTAATAAAAGGAAATACAGAAATTCTGAACTGCAAATTCTTTAGACTTTCCCAGACAGAAAGAAGATTGTTCAGATTGGTTTAAGAAATAATTTCTGCCAAGGACACTTTAGGACTGACATTCCTTGAAAGAGATATTGGTTTGCAAGCCTAGGTGTGCTGGTCAGCTAAAGCTGAGCAAAGATGTTTAGGATGGTGTCTCATAGGCCATCTTCAAGCACATGGCTGCATCAGTATCTATTGCCTGAGGGAGTGTCTGTACTGTTCCTACTATCTGTTTTACTTTTGGCGGAGGGGAGGAGGAGTTAATTTTGGGCAGGCGGGACATTGAGATCTTCAACCAGTAAGGCTCCTGCAACACACTGTTCTGCAGACATTGCCTGAGAGAGCGTCCTGCACTGCTCTTACTGTTTTACCTTTTGCCAAGGGGAGGAGGAATGAATTTTGGGCAGATAGAGCACAGGAAGCCTCAGCCAATAAGACCTCCAAAATGGAGCTATCCAAAGCAAGCTCCATCATTCAAGCAGCACCTTTAGAGACACCCCCCAAATTTTCCTTTGTATTTCCTCCTATTTTGTTTATATTCCTTCCTGTCTTCTTAGGTTTCCATTTGTGTTTTATTATTAGTTTGTCTGTGCATTGGCAGAAACAAGCTGAACAGTGGCTACCCTGCTAATTCGACTCTGCCTTTATACATCATCATCATTCTCATTGGAGTAAATCAATTTGCTTCAATATTTGTATTCTAAATAGTCTGAATGAATTTTATTATGCTTTATTTTTAATTATGTTAATAAATAATTAATCATCGTGTCATTTAAATTATTGATTAACTTTAATTAATTAATGACAGGAAGAAAGCTTGAGTACCAATCTTGTAGTTTGCTCCTATTCGTACTTACTAGCTAGATAGAATAAGGGGCCCGATTCTTCATAAATAGCTCTATATTGCTTATTTATTAATTTAAGTTATTTACCCTACCATGCTTTCACTTGTCTCTGCTGTTCAGGATATCTCAGCTTGTTTGCATTGGTTCTATTAATTAAGCTATTTTTCCCCATCCAAACTTATTAGCTTTATATTGTATATCAAATTAGGTTTTATTTAAATCTGCCCTGTTAGTCATGACCTCCTATATATTAATTTATATTACTCCCTTGTGTTCTGAATCCAGCCCCTGTCTTGTTGGAGCTTATCATCTACATATATCAGTGGATTGATTTTGCTGGGACTAAAGCTAAAATGATCAAAAAAAGAGAGTCTGTCATTTCCGAACAGGTGATTTCCCATCAAGTAAACAATGTAGAATTGGTAAATATTGGAGAACTAAGATGTTAAATAGATTCAGTCTCACAAGATCTTTCTATTGAAGAACTGGAAAAAGATCACAGAAAGCTTTTTTAGCTGTCATAATGTTTGTTTGTTTGTGTGTTTGTTTATTGCTTTTCTTCTCATAGGGACCCAAGGTGGCTCACAACAGATAAAATAACATATTTTAAAAACTGTATAAACATAACATTTAAGAAATAAACAAACATATATTCGTTTAAAAACAATTTTAAAACATTTTAAAATATGTAAGTTAATGGACAGATGAAAGGGTGGCATGATAAAACAAATTGTATCTAAGGACTCCACCCTTACTGAGTGACGGATTTTCTATATTCACATGCTGCCCCTTCAACCATCCTCATAAAGATTCAGACCACACACACCAGAAAGACCACTTTTAATGACCATTAATGACCCATGACAATGGGTGGAAAAGGACTGCAGAAGTGGGATTATCCCTCATTCCAAGTCCTTTGTCCTTCTAATAAGCCAATTCAGACCAGGGGGAAGTAAAACCAAGGTGGAGGATATATCAGGGGTCTCCTACCAACTCTCCTCAGACTGAAGAAGCTACTTGGATGAGTAGTGAAACATTTAAATAAGAAAGAAGTCCAGATGCCATGACTCAACTTACAGATAACCTCACCTGGATGACTGAGAACCTTCACAGATATACTGGAATAGACTGTTGTCTTCAGCAACACTGGCTGTAGCAAGCAGCATTCTTATGTAACTGCTGCCATGTTTCTCCTCCTCACAGCAGCAGTCACTCAGGACAATGTAGCCTCTGCTGAAATCTCATTTGCATCCACTCTAGACAATGCAGTTCCACCTTGTCTCTAAGTGCCACTGCTGTCTCCCCTTTAATAGTAACTCTTCCTCAGATTCTACTGCAGAGCTCTGCTGATCAGGATAGTAGGAAGCTCTGTTGTATCTCTAAAGGCCTTGACCTCTTGTGGTCCTGGGGAGACTGCTAGATAGAGGCTCAAACTCTTCCTCCAGTGGAGAGCCTTTCAACTGAGATATGAGATCCCAAATCCATAGATGAAATATGACCCCAGGCAGATTGCGATGGAAGCAGATACAGTGGTGCCTTGCTTTATGATTGCCCCGCATTACGACGAATCTGCTTTACGACGATCTTTTTGCGATCTCAAAACAATGGTCTAAATGGGGGAATTTCGCTTTGCGATGATCGGTTCCCTACTTCAGGAACCGATTCTTTGCAAAATGATGTTTTTCTAACAGCTGATCGACAATTTCAAAATGGCCGCTGGGTAATTAAAATGGCTCCCCGCTGTGTTTAGGGACAGATTCCTCGCTATACAGGCAGCGAAAATGGCCGCCGTATGGAGGATCTTCGCTGGACGGTGAGTTTTTACCCCATTGAATGCATTGAATGGGTTTCAATGCGTTTCAGTGGGGTTTTTTATTTCGCTTTACGATGTTTTCGCTGAACAGTGATTTTCCTGGAATGGATTATCATCGTTAAGCGAGGCACCACTGTAATCTTTTAGGCTTTGGTTGTATCTCCACCACAGAAGGAAAATCAAGATCAGACATTAAATGTTCACACAAATTGATGTTACTACAAGGTTACGTTATGTAAGCTTCTATGTTATGCTTCTATGTTATGCTGCAGCAATACTCCATATTAACCTTTTTTACAAAGCCATACTGAATTAATTTATTTAAATAGTGAATGCAGAAGCAAAATTATTATACTCATGCTTAACTGGATACATTGCTTTCGGTTGACATTATTTGTTGGTATAGTTAGTTATCAACACAGAAGAAGTTACTGGTGTGAGTGGGGAGTATTATTAACTATTGCTCTTGTTAGGTGTCATCAAGTAGCCTCCAATGTCTGGTGATCCTATGAATGAGTTACCTCCAAAATGTCCTGTCTTTAACAGTCCCACTTACTATTTGTGGAGTCAGGGCCACCACTTCTTTTATTGAATCAGTCCATCTCATATTTGGCCTTCCTCTTTCCCTACTGTCTTCAACTTTTCCCAGCATAATTGTCTTTTCAGTGAATTTTGTCCTCTTATGATGTGCTCAGAGTAAGACAGTCTCCGTTTTATAATTTTTGTTGCTAGAGTAAGTTCAGCCTTGATTTAATCTAGCACTTACCTATATGTTTTTCTGGCGGTCCATAGTATCTGAAGAGATTTCTTCTAGCACTCTATTTCAAACAATTTGGGTTTTTTAATTGACTTTTTCACTGTCCAGCTTTCACATGTGTTCATAGAAAATGGGAGTAGAATTGTGTGAGCGATTTTGGTCGGTCTCCAGTGACACATCCTTGCACTTCAGGAACTTTTCTGGTTCCTTCATTGCTTACCTTCTGAGTCTCAGTCCTCTTCTGATTTCTTGGCTTCAGTCTCCGTTTTCACTGATGACTGAACTGAGATATGTAAAGTCTTAAACAGTTTCAGCTTCTTAATTGTCAGCATTAAAGTTGTATAGTTCTGTAGTCAAGATTTTGTCTCCTTGTTTCTGTAGTCCTATTTTTCCACTTTCATATTTCACCTTCATCAGGAA